CTCATAAAGTATTTTTCTGAGGTCTGTCTTATCAGGTAAATTACTGTACAAAGTGTATTCATTAATTTTCATTTTCATCTAGTAAAGGCTCTATGCCTTCATAAAGGACGTACTTTTCCTTTGTTTAAGGGTATTTGGGCAGTTTGTTCTCTGTTGTATTCTCAAGTAAACAATACATACAAGTACAGTACAGTATTTTCTGAGGAAACACTCATACTTATTTTTTTTAACCCCATTCCCGATAACACGGCATTTTCACAAACTCGGTTACCCTTCAGTCCACATTAGGCCGCGTTTTCGAGGCTCTACTGTAGCAGATTTCGCAAACATAAAGGCAAGAAGAGTTAAATTTCTGTAAATAAATATTTATATGGTTTTACACTGAAGTAAACAAAAATAACTTAGTAATAATAAATATTTTTTCTTTATAAAGTATTTTTTTTCTTTTTTCACACCCTTATGAGCCAACACTAAAGAGCCTTACTGGCAAGCTCAGCGTTGGTAGTCGTAGTTAAACAGGGGGCGGCATAATCGGTATTGCACACGGGCGTTCAAACAGCTAGCGGCGCCTCTGGTTGTAGGAGGCCTACCTGTATTCATTGTCCGGTTTGTTTGCAGTCCAAACTGTTCATTAACTGATCACCCACCGTATATTATATGTAATGAAGGATATGATATTGTTATATTTAAATTAAAATTTCAGAAATACTGTATGCATGCATGTATGTATATGTTACCGGCCAAACCTGATTTCGGGCCAAACTAGTTTGTCCTAGGCCAAACTAGTTTATCCTAGGATAATCTAGTTTGGCCTAAATACTTTAAGCTTAACTAGTTTGACCTAGGCCGAACTGATTTATTTACTACAAATTGGTGCCAGTGTAAAAAAATTATTTTGTGTAATTTGAAATGCCACCACAGTACACCTGGTGGTTAAAATGTACCTAGGTAACCCTAATGGCGGTGCTTCAGTTAGGTTGGTTTAGTTTGGTTAACTATATTTTTAGTAGACGTTTCCTTTTTTTTCTTTTGTTCAAGAACTACCATGGATCAATAACTAGTGATGTTAAACAATGGGCGGCCTGCCGGCGGCTCTCCTCCGGGAGGAGTCCGCCAGGAGCACAAACAGTCTGAAGTGTTGTCATTGGGATTATCTAGGTACACTTTAACCCACCCTGTAAAAATAAATAAAAGCTTAAATATTTTATATGTTACACTAAGAAACACAAGCAAGTTCATTTTAAATTTTAGTTTGACTTTAAAAGTTATTTTTATTATTTCGTTTGAATTTTTGGAAATATTTTCAAAAGTTAATTACCTTTAAAAGTGCATGGCTTAATAAAAAAAATACAAACTGATAAGTACTGATTAGCTTATTTTTATTTTATAGTTTTGTATAAGTGTTGTGTCACTTCTAATCAATACCGTTTTTTATAATTAAGTAGAGTATGTTTGAATAAATATAGTAGACCCCTATAACACTGTTGATAATTCTGTTTTATATGAATTCCATGTTGTATAAGTCACTTAGATTTTTCAAATACGTGAGCCGTGTGTCAATAGCAATGAATTAAGAATCAAATTTTAAAAGTTTATTTCCTAGCCATTGGTTTTATATAATTAAATACACATTTATGATTGAGTTTGATTCAAATTGCTTATTTACAATAATACAAATCTTAATTTAAAATATAATAGATGAGAATGTTACAAGATAAAAAAAAATTATTTTTTTCTCTTTCTTACAATTAAATGCTTCAATAGCTTTGCATTTGGAAACTGAAAGACTGATGGGTCATTTAAGGTCTCACAAAATTTTTAGACTAGCCTTTTTCAAGCAGCTTTGTTGAAAGCACTTTATCAAATTATTTTCAGTAAATGCTCTCACATCATTGCTACAATGCATTTATTAATCATGGTTTCAAATTCATTTGTTTATTATTTATTTACAGTTTTGCAAAATTTTATAATTTACAAGTATTAATTATAAAATGTCTTAAAATATTTTTTCTTTTTGCTATTTATTTTGCTATCAATTTATTAAATTAATCCATTCCTAGAGGTCATTTATTTTAGATTTTGTTTATGTTAAATATATTTAAATTAGTTAATAAAATTAAAACAATTGACAAAGTTGAAAAACTGATATATAGTAGTATATTTATTGTTAAATTTTATCAAACAACCATAATGTTTAATGATAATTTAGTAAAGTAATTTATTTTATCAAATTTTTTCAGTAATTAAAAAATTCATTTCAATTTTTTCATAGATGTCATAATGTATCAGCAACAAGTTCGTCCATCATCTCAGAGTGGTCAGTCAGCAAATAATTCTTTTTCGTATCCAAATTTTTCATATCATCTTGCAGATCATAAATCAAATAAACAAAATTATTCCAATTTCGGTAAAGGAACAGGACAAAAGTTTGTAACTTCAACTGCTAATTCTCCTCCTCCTCCTCCCCCTCCTCCACCTCCACCTCCTCCTCCTCCATCTCTTATTGGTAACACTAAATATATAAATATGATGTCAAATTCATCTGTTGAAAAAAAAACCAATAATAATAATTCAGCCTTGACAGAACCAAGTAATGATAATCAGTTCCAACAAAATTCTTTCAAAAATGAAATGTCTAGAGGTCTACCACCTGGCTTTTCAAAAGCAGAGGCTGAACAAAAAAATTCACGGTATGTATTTGAATATTTAAAATTATTTAATTAAATTAATTATTTTTTCAGAAATCGCAGTTTAGTAACATTGGTAAAATGAAAATATTTATTTAATTATAAGTTGTTAATTCCTTTAAATGTGTTGGATGGCATAATTTTCTTTAAAATAAAACAAAGGAAAAATTCTTTTCTATAAAAATTTTCTTAAAACAAGGAAACAATATAAAAGAAAAATGTTTATAAAAACTTATTGAAGGCTAGACTTCCTGTTTATTCTTGTTTAATGCTATTGAGAGAAAACACTTAGTTATTTATTAAGCATAACAATTTAATGCTCATTTGCCATTAAATGTAAAATCATTAGATCTTTGCTAAAGTTTTTAAAAAATTAATAAACACAAAAGATACAGTTTATACCAAAAATATAGATAATCTATATGTTTTTATTTTTTTAAATATTAATTATTTCTTAACAATGTGATTGGTTATTATTATTTATTTATAGCATATTACAATGTTATATAATTGTTTTTACAATATTTAAGTTACATAAAGTATTAAACACAAAATTCTTGTTTTGTGATGTCCCAAAAATAATATAAATAACACCTTTAACCATCCAGCAATAAAAATGTTTAATATGACAAAAACGTTTTCAACCATTTTTTTAATGGCCATGTTCAGTTGGATTAATATTAAAAAAGAACATTAAAATGGAATGCATGAAATACAAATTAAATAGAATCCAAAACATGCATGCGCAGTTCATCTGACTTGCGTCTTTGGATTATCTATAAATAACTTACAAATAACATAAAAATAAAGCCGCAAATGGGGAAATATATGTTGATTACATTGTATTAATCTGCATTACTGTAAAAAAATTTCCAGGCATAAGATAACCCTTCTGCATCTCTATGATTAATGCATCCCTTGCTTATATGAGCCTTGTGTATCTCAATTTTTTCAAGATGCTTCACTGCTTGTTTGGAATTTGTGGCTCTAATAATTGAGGCTTGATTCCAGTATACCTTGACCTCCTGCTGTTTGGCAAATGCTGCGAGCATTGTGCTATCCATGTTCTTACTCACAGAGTATTTGTGTTCATTGAGTCTTTGCTTTAACTGATGTGTAGTTGCATCATCGTAAACAAGATCAGAGTTGAAATGCTGATCCTTTATAGGTATAGAATATACTCCTGGTAAATTATTTCGCTTTTCTTTTTTCTTATCGTTTCTTAACATTCTGTAGATTGTTGGATTATGTCAGTATACTATTTGTAGATTATTACTGTTAGCAACTCTCCTAATCAGTTTGTTTAAAAAAGGGAAATAATTAAGTACAGTAGAGCATTGATTATCTGACCCCCGATTAACCGTCACATTGGTTAACCGACCGTTCTAGTTGGCAAATTTTAAATGTCCACTAGGGATGTGGCGCTACAATATTTGGCTATGTCTTGGCTACTTTAATATTATTTTTGTTAAATTTTTGCATGTTTTAGCTGGCAACACAGCTCGACCATTGAAGGGGGCCAGTATTTAAACGAGACTAAATTTTTAAATTATGAATGGTTGTTTGTTTTGTGAGCAATAAAATAATTTTAAAATAATTTTTAACGATACAATAGCAACGATTATTATTTTAAAAAATTTGTTAGGCTTAACATAGATGAAAATTCAACGCGAAGTTGGTTACCACAATGAGATCTCGCACCACCTCAGAATCTTCTTAGGGCAGCCTCTGGTTCGGCCCGTGGAAAAAGTTTTCTTTCCAATTCAGCCCGGGGGCAAAAACTGTTGGCTCCCCTGTTCTATGGCAAGCACACATACACACAGAAACATACACATGGCATATATAGACTGCAGAAAAGCATTCAACAGCGTTCCACACAGTTGGCTCTACACATGTACAAAATACATCCATCACTCATTGCATTCTTCCAAAACACTATGCAGCACTGGAGAACAACACTGCATCTCAGGGTTAGTAACACTTCCATACAAACAAACGAAATATTCATTAGGCAAGGAATTTTTCAAGGAGATTCCTTGAGTCCTCTCTGGTTCTGCCTAGCCCTGAACCTATAATCCAACATGTTAAACAACATGCATTATGGCTACAATATCAGACATGAAAAAACAACACAGTTTACACTGGCACATCTCATGTACATGACGACATAAAACTTTATACATCCACACAAAAACAGCTTCAGCAACTCCTACAAATCACACATTCATACACTAAAGACATACAAATGTAGTTTGGCGTAAACAAATGCAAAACGCTTCACATAGAAAAAGGAGTCCTGAAGAAAGAAGATTTTGCACTTGGAAATGGGGACATTATTGAATCCATGGAAGAGGGCAAGCTCTACAAGTATTTAGGATTCCAACAGGCCAAACTAACAGAACATATTTAAATGCATCAAAGATTAATTAAAGAATACCAAAGTAGGTTAAATGCTATTCTCAGAACACAGTTAAATGCAAAACACACAGTTAAAGCAATAAACACATATGTCATCCCAGTACTCACATACTCTTTTGGAGTTATACATTGGACTCACACAGATCTCGAGCAACTCCAAAGGAAAACAAGAACAACACTTACTAAGCATAAACAACATCATCCTAAATCCGCCACAGAAAGATTAACCCTTCCACGTAAAGAAGGCGGACGTGGCCTGATTGACATAGTTAACCTTCACTACAAACAAATACAGTCACTGCGAGAGTTTTTCTACAAGAAACAAGAAACATCACAGTTACATAAAGCAGTAACTCTAGCAGACTCAAATAACACACCATTAAACTTACACTCACAACATACAGACATGACACAACATATAAAAAGCATAGACAACATTAAGCAATCATGGGCTCAAAAGGCTCTCCATGGCAGGCATCCTTACGACCTGGCCCAGGATTTTGTTGACAAAACTGCGTCAAACAGCTGGTTAGATCGGGGATGCCTCTTTGGGGAGACGGAAGGATTCATGATTGCCATACAGGATCAGGTCATAAATACTAAAAACTACAGAAAACACATACTCAAAGATACAACACTCACAAATGACACATGCAGAAAATGTCACATCATGCCAGAAACTATACAACACATCACTTCTGGTTGCAAGCTCTTGGCACAGACAGATTACTTACATAGACACAATCAAGTAGCAAATATAATACACCAAGAGCTTGCAAAGAAACACAAATTGGCAGACATCCACGAACCATACTACAAGTATATTCCACAGACAGTATTGGAAAACAACACGCACAAAATGTACTACGACAGAGCCATAATCACAGATAAAACAATTTACCACAACAGACCAGACATCACACTCATTGACAAACACAATAAAATCACATACATTATAGACATAGCCATTCCAAACACTCACAATGTACAAAACACATGCACTGAAAAAATTAGCAAGTACACAGAACTCGCCCAGGAAATAAGGCATCTGTGGAGGATGGATAGGGTGCTTATTGTACCTGTCGTTCTCTCCTGTACAGGTGTGATACCACACATACTACACAAAAGCCTAGGAACATTACAATTGAGTAGAGATACATACATCACACTACAGAAGGCCACTATATTGAATACATGCCACATTGTTAGGAAATTCCTGAATACAGACACACACACTGACACACTTATTTAATTTTAGTTTTGTTTTGGTTGCTACGCCTTGACTCTGGTCCGGCATAGTATACAGCCACCGGTGTGAACCGAATATAACTCACAAAACCCAACATAATAATAATAATAATAATATAAAAAGTTTTTAATAAAAAATATCATAACAGTTTTAAATGTTGCCAAGAAAGTTAAGAAACTGGATTTTTTAATACTAGATGAATGCAGGATATTAAAGTTTGAACTTCATTATAAAAATGTGAGAACAATTTTATTAATTGAAAATCATTGAAGAAGATACAAATTCAAAATTACAATTTGTTGGGTTGCAATTTGAAAAAAAAATTGTGGACCTATAAATTCCCAATGTCATCCGTCTGTCTGTCTTTCCTTGATCTCGAGAATGGAGTTAGATGAAAGACGAGACCAGATATGGAAACCTTAGAGACGGTTGGCCTCAATTAACTATAAATGAACTTTTGTTACAAACCAGAAGTCACGTTATTTCAATTCAAAACTTTTCCCCTGAAAGCAGTTATAGATGACTGGCACAACTCTGTTGCTAATGTTGTACAGGGGCAATACACTACAGTATTAATTTGCGGTGGAGAGCATATACTTTAAATGAAATAAATTTAAAATATTAAAAATTGCAGCCTGGCATTGTGATGACGTCACAATAAATAATTGCTTGTTTAAGAAAGATTCTCTCTCAATGACTTGATTCATTTTTGCTATATTGTTTATTTTTAACATGTTAAATGATGGATCAACTATTAAATCTTTGATTTTCTTTACTCTGCTAAGAGCAATGTAGGATCCTGCAACAGTTTTTGACTTTATGTTGTTGTTAATTTTATTTAACACTAGCTGCAAGGACCCGCTTCGCTGGGCAAAAAGTAACAATAGTGAAGATTAAGATAATTACATTATAGCCAATCTTACCCGTTTTCACAGAATGCAAGAATTAGGTCCCCGTTTCCAGACTAATTAGAGAATTTTTACGTCCAGTCAAATGAACTACAGTCGACCCCCCCCATAAGACAGTAGATACGTTCCATTCTTTAGTAATCTGATTTCTTACGAGTCCTTCAATCACAGCCCGACACGTGTGAAGTTTACGGACTACAGCTGTTTGAAAGGTTTTCTTCCATAAAATTAATCGATTCTAGACTAATCCGACTCAACATTTCCAAAATATGTATATTTTTTTGGAAATAATTTGTATAAACTACGCTATAAACAAAAAATTGTAGAATTACTTACCGAGTGTGCACCATTCAACATCGTCATTGCTCAAGCTTGTTTTCGTCGCAGAACAGCTCAGCAAACAGCGGCCGCGATTTCTGATGTTATTTTTCTGCGAAAACTTCGCTGAACTTTGGAGACATCATTAATATAAATAATTTTTATCGCCGTTGAATAAGAAATGTTTCTTTCACAAGAAATGTATAAAATTACAGTACTGTATTAGACTTACGGTACCTAATTTACATACTGACAGACGATAGTTAGCGTAAAAATCTCCGTAGCGTGGCGCCACGCTAGACGGCGGAAATTATTAATTATAATAAAGTTACAATAAATTAAGTTAATATATAATTATATATACAGTACCTAATTTATATATAATTAATATAAAATTATATGTACAGTACCTAATTTATATATAATTTATATATAATACTGTACAGACGATAGTAATTACTCCGTAGAATGGCGCTTGATGGCGCGGAAAGTAGTTTGGCTGCCCAATGACGTTTTATGTAATTATAGGAGTTTTTTACCGTTTTTTATGGATATTGTTGCAATTTTTTCGCTGTCTTATAGGAATCATAATTATAGGAACCTGTTTTATAGGGGGAGGTCTACTGTATTTTCAATTTGATCAATTTTCTGGAACATTTATAATCGTCCTATAATCGAGCCAATACAAATTCGAATTTAAAATGGTTTGAACATTTTTAAAATCGAAATAGAAAATCTTCCACTTTCAAGCCCATATCTCCCGCACCCTTATAGCTATTGAGACGCAACCACCCCACAGTGCACGAATGGAGACTTGGGGCTACTACCACTTACAAACATCATTCATGTGTGATGTGTAGTTTTGTCTAAAAAGTGAAATATAGGGACACACGTCTATATATATATATATATATAGATTAACCTCTGAAATGTGTAGATTGTGAGAACCTAAGCAGTTGATACCAGGAATTGTCTTCTTGAAAAATCTGTATATCTTTTCATCTGGATACAGTAAAAAAATTGTGAAACCTTCATTTAATGTCAATTCTATATAGTTGTCAGATTTAACCAAGATTGTTATTTTAAATTGAGGGGTTTTCTTCTCTCATTGTACATTATATCTATGACTGTCCTAACACTCCATTAACCAAACTTTTTTCTGCTGAAAGATTGTTTTCATTTAAGGCATTCCTAAGTAACAAAGAACTAAAATATTGTAATTAGAACTAGAAAAAAGTTCACTTACTTGTGCTGGATGAATTGTGCCTGAACAAATTTTGATCTATGGAATTTTGATAGCATGTTGGATTATCAGCTCTTTTCAGAGGGTGTGGTTACTGGACATTCTGAATTATCTATATATATAAAAATGAATGTATGTCTGTGTGTGTGTCCTATGTCCTTCATGCATTACCACACCGTTTATCCGATTGCTGTGAAACTTTGGAAAGTTGTTTAATATACTCTGGCGAAGGTTTGTGGCATAGTACGATTGCCATAAAACTTTGGAAAGTTTTTTTAATTTTTTAATACACTCCCGCGAAGTACATTTATCCTACGATAGATGGCGCGCATTTACACGAGCATTCGCGCACAGTGTGTTAGATCGATTTCAAATTGTGAAGACCATTTCCCCCTTTCAAAAAATATCTCTATATATGCATTTGTTATTTACGATATTTGTAATAATTTTTGTTTAATCACTTTATTTCAACTTTTTTTTTTGCTAATTATGTATTCGCTCGAACTTCTAAAACCTTAACTGTACCCCGAACAACAACCGAAGTTGTAGGAAGAAATTCGCGTATTTTACCGATCTAGGTATCCCCCCTTTTCCAAATTTTAATATCGACTCAAAATAATTTAAAAAGACAAATTACAATAAAACGGTTTATTATCCAACTATCAGAAATTTCACAACATGCCAAGGAAGAGAGGAAGGAGCAATTAAATAATTAAAATTATAAAGGATTAAAAAATATATATATAAATGGGGAATATCGCGCTTTTGACAATCGCTGCAAGTGTGTGGGCTAAATTTGGAGAATCCGTGCTTCTCGCATGGACAACTGTATGTGGCCGGCTCACGCGTCGAAAAACCTTCCGATTTATTCGTGTACGCACCAGACGGAAAAACAAAAAATATCGTGTATCCACAAGCACTCCAATAAATAAATAGAATTGAAACGACACTTTGAAATGTTTTCCCGATGAAAATGAATAATAATAATAAGTTTCAATAAAAATGATAAAATGAAAATTTAATTTTATCATTACGAGTTTGCTTGCATTTCGTTTCTTCTGAGATCGCAGCAATGCGCGACGGGTAAGCTAGTAGGGTATAAGATTAACAAACTTCTGCTGTATTTATCTTATTTTTGTTATTATATTTAAATCTATGGCTTTGAAGTCTATAAATTATAAGTATACTTTTTAATTGTTATGTATGTGTATATATATATATATATATTTCTCTTATTTTCTTTATCACTACTCGTATCTGCAACCTCTCTTAGAATATCAGAAGCTAATTTTTTATTTTTAGCCAGTTTCTCACTTTTTTGCATAATTACCCTTTAAATCTTTTGCTAACTAATATAGTTATTTCAACATTCATTCATATCAATGCTTTATCTCTTTAGCCTGACTAAGTTTTTAAACAAACAACATGCACTTCAGTGCGTGTCACGAAATATGAAGACGCTAACAATCTGGTTCATTGGATTATAATTTATCTGAGTCCTTAAGCTCTTGTTTTAGATTTTTAGTGCCTTTTCCTAAATCACCCATAACTTGTGGTAGCCTGCCTGCACCAAATAGAACTAAGATTATCATTAAAACTAGAAATAATTGCCATGGTCCTAAACTCATTTTCACCTCCATTTAAATATTGGCCTTTGAATATTAAAACTTGACTGAAGCCAAGTGAAATATAGATTATATCACTTTTATTTAATTGTAAATCAAGATTTTTTAATCTATCTTGTAACGGCTTCAGGCTAAGTTATTTCCTTTTATCGAATGTGCCGTTAAAAGGGAGCTCTTCGCTTAACTGTGGGGTAAAAGAGAACTCACTAAAGAATTTTGTTAACGTGTCATCTTTTGGTCTATGATATATATCACTAGAGATCCCTGATTGAATAATTTTACCATTTTTCATTATGTAGATAAAATCTGCAATCTTTAATGCTTCTTGTGGATCGTGATATTCATCACAATTTCAAGAAGTATTAACGTGACCATCAACACAGGGATATTTTTACTTCTGAAAAGGGATAGTATAAGTTGCCTTATTCAGCACTTTAGTAGTATATCTAAGTTAGAAAATGGTTCATTGAGCAACACAACATCAGGATTTTGTGCCATCACTCTTGCTATTGCAACTAATTGTTGCTGCCCTCTGGACAAAGCATTAGGGTACATATTTTCATATTTTTCTATATTGAGTAGCTTCAGAATTTCCAATGCAACGAGGTGCTTTTCTTTCTTGGAGAAGCCGTGAATAGCAAAAGTTATATTTTCTACTACTGTTTTGTGAGGAAATAATGCAGAATGCTGGAAAATCAATCTGATATTTCTATGCTCTATGGCAATTGATGTTTTATTGCTTGCAACTAACCTATCATTTATAAAAATGGTTCCAGATTTTGGATTTTCTATCCCTGTAATTAATTTCAAGATCGTTGATTTGCCACAACCAGAATTTTATCAAGCTAGAATTATCTTTATAGTATATTTAACAAAAGTAGAACTATACAAACCCTATACAAAATGTCATTCCAACTTTTCAAGTTTTAAATCTCTGACTCCAATTCTAACTCTCTCATTAATTATATACATATATTTCATTTATTTCAGAATAATTTATTTATTTTAAAATGGTTGGTGTTACATTATTTAAACAGAAATACTGAAGAAGATCCTGTAACTAAAGCCATGGTTAATAATTTGATGGGAAATGTACCCAATAAAAAAAATAGGGTAAGTTCATCTAAAATTAAATGAATATTAATATTTTCATTATTATGAATATAAAATATTTTTGAACTTTGTAAAACAAAAATTTTTAAAGAAAGCTTTGCATATTTTGGTTTTATTTATATATCTTTTATTGTGTGTTTTATATAATTATTTCAAATGTTAACTTATTACATTATTAATTTTACAAAGTTTTTGGCTTTAGAAAGACAAAAATATTACACATTTAGTAATGGATATAGATTTTCATAAGCCATTGTATCAGAATTAATTGGCTGTTTTTAAGTATTAAATGATTAAAATTAAGTTATTTTTGTTCTTTTTTATTAAACATTTCTAGCAAAGACATTTATTAATAATATAAATGTTTCTGCAATTTCAAATGTTATCAAATTGAAACTAGAGTGTGAAACCTGATGCAGGCTTATGAAATATGCTGAAAATGTTTGTGTTACAGTATTAATAAATATCTTTGCTGGAAATGTAAGAATGGTGTTGAGAGTTAAAGGTTAATTTAGTGTTACTTGCAAAATTTAAACTTAGTACAGTGGGTGATTGGCTAACAAACAATTTTATGAAAGATATTTATGTTTGGACAACAGACACATGTTCGGATAATGAACACTTCACTGAACAAACACAAGAAGCAACACTGCATTTAATATTTGTAAAATTATATTTTTACTGGCATCTATGAATGGTTTATGGAACAAGACTTTCACAGTTGTATATACAACCTTTTTTGCACTAGTTTATTTCTGTGCTTTGAATTTTTGTTAGTGCTTTTTTGAACTTTCATATAAAAAAACTGATAATATTATGGTGCTTAAAAAGAGTGGTGTGCCAAGGACTATGCTCAACCATAGAAACCAAACAAGAAATAATAGCCAAGGTAGAGAGGGTCTAGAAGAGGTCTGATGTAGACAGTATGGCTTCAACAGGTCTATAGTAGGCACAATCTTAGCTAAGAAAGATATAATCAAAAAGACTCAAGCAGATAAAGGAGTAATGAAAATCACATCTGAGAAACAAAGATTTGCCATCCATTAAAAAATGGAGAGATTGCTTTTAGTTTGTGATTACATGTAAATAAACATAGTAAGAAATTATATAATTTTTTATTTATTTTTTGGGGTCTCTAGAACAAATTAATCAAATTCTCATAAAAATCTATGGTAAATCAATAATCGGTTAACAGTAGGGAACATTGTCTTTGAATGGATTGTTTATTAACCAATCATCCACTGTATTAGATTTTCTTTTGCTTGCTGTCTCACAAATTACAGTACTGTAAGGTCTCGTTTTATGCGGTGGATACGTTCTACAGAAAAGCGCATATAAAAAATTCGCATAAAAAAAGACTTTACTTGCATTGAAAAAGTAGGGATAAGTTCCGTAATTTTCTAAAATCGCATAAAACCAAAACAACAAGTTAAAATTAACTTAAAACCGCATAAAAAAGTTTGCAGAAATTAAAAGAAATAGGCTGCTTAATA